TCCTTTCTGAAACAGAGGAAGTCCCAGGAAAAGCTTGGGAAGGCCTCTGTAAAGCAAAACGAAAAACCCACCCTGTAATGAAGAGGTTGCCTGAGGAATCCAGCACCTGGGCAGCTCAGGCAGGATAAAAGGCCAGGCAGAGAGAGAGCCCGTGGGAATCCAGGAACCAGGCTGGTGTGGAAAGGTCTCTGGGAATGTTGGAAAGATGGCAAACTGGGGTACCCAAGCTTCTCGGGTTTTATGCAGGAGGAGGGGTGGAGAAAGGCTTGCAAAACCTCTCTCGCACCTTTTCATCTGTTTAATCTCTGCGTGCGTGCGTGTGCGTGCATAGACACATGTCCACACTTGTGCGAGTACTCTTCCTCAAACACGTGCAAGCCTCCCCATCCCCTGGTGGACCCAGGTACAGAGGACCTCTCCTGGCCCTCTCCCCCCACCTTCCTCTTTCTCTCCCCCCCAGGTACAGCTCTCCTGGCCCTCTCCCCCCCCCTTCCTCTTTCTCTCCCCCCCCAAGAACTGTTTTAAATATATAAGGCCTTTTCCAAAGTGTGTATACCGAACAATAGCAGACAGAAAAGAAAGACGGGAAAGAAGACTTGAGAGAACTATTTCTAAAAAGTAGAGAGACAAGGTTCCTGTTTCAGATAGAAATGTTATTTTAGATACATTTTATTATGAATAACTTTTGTTATGACTATGGCTGGTAACCATGAATACGTTATTTAAAAAAAAACACACAAAATGTTTTACAAAAAAAAATCCAGATTTTGACTTTAGATTGCTTTGTTTGACTCCTTTGCTGCTTTTTCCCTTCCAGTTTTTGCTTTGTAAAAGGCATACAGAATTTAAGTATTAGCCCTTTTTTATTAACCTCTATGATAAAGCTGTGCTTATTTTGTATTAATTCCTTTTCAAACGTTTGTTTTTTCTTTTGTTTTGTTTTCTTTTTGTTTTTTTCTTTCCTGTTTGAGTGGAGCTTGTCACAAAATCCCATTTCCTCCACAGGCTGGAAATGCAACGTTGAGAAACGGGGACTTGCATGGCTCCTAAGGGGCTAGTGTGACACGTCAGCCCGATGGCCCTGGGGGTTTGCTGGACTGAGCCGCCAGAATTTAAGTATTAGCCCTTTTTTATTAACCTCTATGATAAAGCTGTGCTTATTTTGTATTAATTCCTTTTCAAACGTTTGGTTTTTCTTTTCTTTTCTTTTTGTTTTTTTCTTTCCTGTTTGGGTGGAGCTTGTCACAAAATCCCATTTCCTCCACAGGCTGGAAATGCAACGTTGAGAAACGGGGACTTGCATGGCTCCTAAGGGGCTAGTGTGACACGTCAGCCCGATGGCCCTGGGGGTTTGCTGGACTGAGCCGCGCAGCCCAGGGCCCTCCGTGGGGAGGCTCCTCCTCAGGCAGATAAGGTCTCCCAGGGCCCCAGCCCAGGCAGCTGATTGGGGTGGTCTCTAAGGGGGCAGGCCAGACCCCAACACGGAGCCCTACAGCCACTTACGCATGGTCAGCGGCCCTTCCTAGCGGATCGAGCGCCTTGTGGTCAGAAGGGTGGGTGAACGGACAGTGTGGACTGTCATTCATCTAGGCGGCTGCTCTTTCTGACCCAAGGGACCAGCCTGCTGAGGAAAGCGGTGGAAAGACCCCCTCCCTCTTGCCTCAGAATTACCCCAGAATTCTCCTGCCTTGGAACAGGGCACCCTGTGTATGCCAGGCGGGAACCCTGCTATGGGGGGGGGGAGAAGGGCACCTCTGAAAGCAGGACCCCAGGGCCTCCTTCCCAGAAGGGCAGCCGCGGCCCCCATAAAGGGCTTCTCTAAGGTGCCTCCCCTGCTCCTGGGACACGGGGAGGGGGGGCTGGCCCTTCTCCAGCGACGGGGAGGCCCAGCGACGACACCACCTTGCTGTTTTCCTTCCGAAGCTTGGCCTCGGCCGTATCCCTTTCTGAGCCACCTCCAGTCGCTCAGGGAACCCTCAAATACGGCTGAGCCAGCGGCCTGCTGCTCCCTCCCCCCCCCAAACACGGCTGCGTTCGCCGCCTTCTGTGAAAGCAGCTCAGGTGGTTGCTGTGGCGTCTGTTACGCTCCCCACCCCCTTCCCCGGCTGGAGCATCCACGCAGTCCCCACACGTAGCAGAGGTAGTGGCCGGGGCCATAGCCGTGGCCAGCCAGGCAGCGGATGCCGACGGAGGAGGAGGAGGAGGAGGCCGCCTTTGGCCAAATCAGGCCCTTAGAGGCACGCCCCCCCCAACACACACACACCCCTCCAGTTGCTGAGGAATCTGCACCCACCCCCTCGCCCCATTAAACTGGCAAGCGGGGCTGAAGCTGCTTTCCAGGAACGTTGGGGAGGGGGTGGCCCACCAGCCCTGGCCAGGATAGCCAAGGGTGAAGGGTCATGGGAGTTGTAGCCCCCACAGTGCTCTGGGGGGGGGGAATAACACTACAAGCAGCAGTGGCTGAAGAAACATCCCTTTAATGATGCACGCGCACACACACGTGTCCGGAGGCACACACGGAGCAGCAAGGTCTGGAGAGATCCCTCTGGCTTGAGCAAGACCTCCCTCTGCGCCCCCCCCTGCTCGCCTCTGGACCCAGTGGCGGAGGGCCCAGGAACCCTCTGGGCCCCGGAGACCTCCGTGGGGCAGGCCAGAGAGCCAGGAGGGGCCCGTCCCTTCATCTGCCCTCCATCCTGGCCGTCAGCAAGGGCCGCCTCTCTCCCTGAAGGTCTCCTGAGCCACCGAGGATGGGCTTTCCCTGCAGGTGGAGGGAGCAAGCTTGTGGGCACCGAAGGGAGGAAGGCCAGCGGGGGGTGCCAGTCAAGCCAAACAGGGAGGGTCTGTCCCCCTGCGTGGCGTCTTCGAAAGGCTGGTCCAGGGGCAGCCTCAACCTCCCACCCCCCACCCTGGTCTTTGTGCTTTCTCTAAGGTTGCTCATCCGGTGCCCATCAGGGGTTGTGACGGGTGAGGAAAGCCAGGGCTGCAAACCACTTCTTTTTCCTAATAGCAGAGGGTGCTGCCCAAAGAGATGTGTGCGCTCTCTGAGCAGACAGGTGGGTAACACACAGACCGGTGGCAGGCCATGGAAGCCCTCTTCTGGGCTGGGGGCCAAGGTGGTGTTTGGGCTAACCCTTGCCCTGTGCAGGCGGGAGCCCAGTCGGGGGGAGGAGGGCTGGCTCTAACCCGTGTTTCCCAGTCAGTGGGAAGGCCACGCGGGGCTCCCCTCCTGGGACTGAAGAAGTTCTGGGGATCCCCAGGAATGCAAACACAGAATTCTGCACCAGGTGTGAAATGGGATGTGGAGGAGAGGGCCACTTGAGGGGGACGGGCAGGCAAGCCAGACATGGAGGAGGTCAGTTAAGGGTGCAAGCACCATTGAGATGGAGTGGGGTGCAGGGCAAAGTCCAGCCAGCTTGGGATGGGACCCCCACCAAGGCTCCCCCCCCCTCAGTTCCACCAGGCGTCCAGGCGCCGGACGCGGACCCGCTGCTTGTAGTGGTATTCCTTGAGGTACTCCTTCAGGGCGCTGGGGATGGGCAGCTGCCCAATGCCGTCGTAGGTGGTGCAGCCGGTCACCACGGCCCGGCAGAGGTGCTGCAGCCCAAAGGGGAAGGTGCGGTGGACGGGGAGGGAGAGGAGGGGCTCAAAGAACATGCAGACGCTCGGGTCCTTGTAGTGCTCCAGCAGGCCCGTCACCGTGGGCGCGTGGAAGACGCTGGGATCGTGGACGTCGAAGCTGAAGTTGTGGTTCCACTGCTCGATGCGGGCGTGGAGGGAGCGCCCGTAGCGCCGGAAGCTGACGGAGAAGAGGTAGTCCTCCTGGGCGGAGTCCCTCAGCAGGAAGGTCCCCTCCGGCCGGCCCTCCAGCAAGGCCTCCGCCTCGTACCGGTCCATGACCCCCCAGTAGCAGGGCAGCTGCGTCAGGCGGAGCAGGTCCGGCACCAGGCAGTGGATGTAGTCGATCTGGGTGTGGACCCGCGGGAGCCCCTCTCGGCTGCCGGGAAGAGCCACCGAGGAGGCGGAGGCGCCTCCTCTTCCTACTACTACTCCCTCCTCCTGGTCCTCGTCTTCCTCCTCCTCGCCCCCCTGCCCCTCTTCCTCCCCTTCGTCTGCAGCTGCCAACGCAGCCCGCCCAGCCCCCGCCAGCTCGGTCATCCCGTGCGCCAGCTTTGGACCCAGTTTGTAGAGGGGGTTGATCTGCGCCGTCACCTCGAATGTGTGGATGAGGGCATCCGGAGGGGGCTCCACCCCTTGCTCGATGCTGATGCGCCGCCGCTCCCGCAGGCGGGCATCTTCGTCCTCCGTGGGGGGCGGCAGCGGTGGGCCCAGCGCCTCCTGCTCTGACACGGGCGCCGTGTGCTGCTTGATGAGGTTCCACGTGTGGGCCAGCTCAGAGCCAGGCGGGAAGGGACACGTGTCCAGCATCAGCTCTCGCAGGTGGATCTTGCGCTGGGACGCGCGCTCGGGCCAGCGAGAGGCACTCTTGATGGGGAAGCACTGGCCCACGGCCGCCTGGAGCTTCTGCCGCAAGGAGCGCCCCACGCTCCTGCCAGAGGGCTCCGGGCCCTCGTGGCCTCCGCCGGCCACCGCTTCCCGAGGGGAGAGGCTCCCTCTTTCCGCAGGCTGGCTGCCTCGGGCCTTCCGGCGGCCGCCTGGACGGCCTTCCTTGCTCCTCTCGGACTTCACTTTGGGCCGAGCCCCTCTGTCCTGAGACATGGCGCTAGCGGGATGGAGCGCCTCGCGGCCACGGGGAGCAAGGGCCGTGGAAGAAGCCCATACCGAGGGTAGGAGGGCAAACGGGTGGCCCCGGGCCTAGAGGATGCAAGAGAGCTCGGAGTTAGAACCCAGCACACCTTCCTTCGCCCACTTCACTTTGAGCCCCTCTGTCCTGAGACATGGCGCTAGCGGGATGGAGCGCCTCGCGGCCACGGGGAGCAAGGGCCGTGGAAGAAGCCCATACCGAGGGTAGGAGGGCAAACGGGTGGGGTGGCGCCTAGAGGATGCAAGAGAGCTCGGAGTTAGAACCCAGCACACCTTCCTTCGCCCACTTGGGTGCGTCCCGCCCCCCCA